TAAACTGTGGTCAATGACATGAGACAAAGTATATATGAACTGCTGTATGGAAAGTGAATTTGCTCTGTAAATCTTCACCCAAATCACACACACACACACACAAAGTATGATGCACCAAGTACCATAATCATTAACTGAAACTATATTCATCTTATTTTCAAAATACAGAATTAGCTTCTCATAAGATTAACTAGTGACAGAAAAATAATAAGGGTTTACTTGCAAAGAAAGCAGACCATAAATCTAAAAAACTTACAAAAATTTATTCTGACTATAATTGCCATGAAATACTGTTGTGACACTGGTCCATAACTATTTTAAATTATTTTCTAGAAATATCTTCTCCACATTTTACCGGTATAATTTCAAACAAAATTAAAAGTAAAGGTTAATGAGATGTTTAAAGCTCACAGATGTAATAATACAGCTAACATTTTTTAAAGGGGATCATTCTAGTATTTCTGTACTTACTACACATACCACTATAGGAATGAAAACTTTAGAGTTATGTATGAAAAGAGCTAAAGCAAAGGCAGTGAACTCAAACTCAAAATTCTTAAAGAATATTCATCAGTAGTTTGACTCCCTAAAGGTGGATAAGCAGGATTGTCCATGGACTAGTAAGTACTCCAAATCCACTGTCAAGCTTATTTAACTGAAAGCCTCCAACTTAAGATTTATGAGAGGAGGAGAAAAAAAGTTGAAGACTAAGTCTTAAGAAACATATTTTGTTTTCTAAAATAAAATGTACTACATTACTGCCTAAGGCATTTGACTGCTAACCAGAAGGTACGTGGTTCAAAACCACCAGTCACTCCTCAGAAGGAAGACTGAGCAATCTACTTCCATAGTGATACTGCCTCAGAAACCCAAGGAGGGGTTGCTATGAGTCGGATCCAACTCGATGACAGCAATGAGGTTTTTTTCTTTTTTTGGTTTAGATTAGCAAAGGGAGCTCTGGTGGCGTAGTGCCTAAGGCATTTGACTGCTAACCAGAAGGCTGATGGTTCAAACCAACCAGCCACTCCTCAAAACGAAGACTGATACTGCCTTGGAAACCCAAGGAGGGGTCACTGTAGGTTGGATCCAACTCAAGTGGTAGTAAGTTTCGTTTTTGGTTTTGGTTATACGTAAAAATGACAACAAAGAAAATTATTTTTAATTAGGATCAGTCACTAAGAAAATATTTATTCTTCCTCCCTTGCAATTTAAACATACTCAGACATTTAATTTGCTTTCCTGGAAACACATGTCTTACTATGTGGCATTTATCCTATTCCATTCATATATCTATCTTTATGTCAATTTCACAGTGTCCTAATTACTTTAAGATTGCTATTTTTTAAGGCACGTCGTCCCTCCTTCCCCCCAGCTCCTTGTTCTTACATACTGTCTTAGCTATCCTTGGCCATCTGCTTTTTCATATGAATTTTAGAATCAGTTTAGTACCAAGTTGCACAAAACTCTACCAAAGATTTTTATTGGAATTGCATTGAACTTACAGATAATTTGGGAGGATTTGTTATCTTTACAATATGTAGTCTTCTCATCGACAGGCAGGGCAGATCTCTCCATTTAGCCAGGTATTATTTAATATCTTTCAATAAAATTTTATAATTCTTTTCCATGAAGGTATTACTTATATTTGTTAGATTCAACCCTAGGAATCTTAAGTTTTTTGCTATTGTGAATTTTTTTTTCAATCAGTTATAACTGTCACTGATGCATACAAATGATTAATGTTTTAAACTAGTTAATCTTATATCCACCTGCTTGCTAAACTCTTAATTCTGCTTCTTTGTAGATTCTCTTGGATTCTTCTCTATAAAAAGTCATATTGCTGCTAATAATGTTTTATACTACATCTCAACCTAAAGAAAACGAAAATCCTCACAACTGGGCCAATAAGCAGCATCACAATAGATGGAGGAAAGACTGAAGTTGTCAAAGATTTCATATTGCTTGGTTCCACAATCAACACTAATGGAAGAAGCAGTCAAGAAATCAGATGACGTACTGCACTGGGCAAATCTGCTGCAAAAGACCTCTTTCAAGTGCTGAAGAACAAAGATGTCTCCTTGAAGACTAAGGTGCGCCATGATACTTTCAGTCGCCTCTTATGCATGTGAGAGCTGGACAATGAATGAGGAAGACGGAAGAAGAGTTTACACTTTTGAGTTGTGGTGTTGGTGAAGAATACTGCCATGGACTGCCAAAAGAAGTAACAAATCTGTCTCAGAAGAAGTAAAGCCGGAATGTTCCTTGGAAGTGAGAATAGCCAGACTTCATCTCACTTACTTTGGTCATGTTGTCAGAAGGGACCATTTCCTGGAAAAGGATATCATGCTTGGTAAAGTGGAGGGTCAGCGAAAAAGGCTAAGACCCTCAACAAGATGGACTGGCACAGTGGCTGCAACGATGGGCTCAGGTATAGCAAGTATTGTGAGGCTGGCACAGGACCGAGCAGTGTTTTGTTCTATTGTACATAGGTTTGCTATAAGTCAGAGCAGACACGACAGCACCTAACAACAATTTGTTATTTGAAGGTGTTTTCTTCTATTCAACATTTGTTTAGACATCATGAATAAATGCTGAATGTGATAAAACATTTTTGAATTTAAGATTTTTCTCCTTTATTCTGCTGTACAAAATTAGAGTAGCTTTTCTTCTACTTTCTAAAAAAACAGTTTGCAAGGACAAGAAGTATTTGTTCCTTGATGATTTGGTACTGTTGTTGTTAGGTGCGGTTGAGTTGGCTCTGACTCACATTGACCCTATTACAACAGAATGAAACACTGCCCAGTCCTGCGCCATCCTCACAATCTTTGCTATGCTTGAGCCCATCATCTCAACCACTGTGTCAATCCATCTTGTTGAGGGTCTTCACTTCTTTGCTGGCCCTCTACCTTTATAAAGCATGATATATCCTTCTTCAGTGATGAGTCTCTTCTGACAACATGACAAAATAAGTGAAATGAAGTCTGGCCAAACACTTAAAAAAAAAAAAAAAATTCTCTACAAATACCTTCACCAAAATCAAACCTGTCTCTTAACTATCCATGTATTTTCCCTCCCTACCACTCCCCTCCCATCCTTGATAACCAACAAAGAAAATTTCCTTCCCTGTATAAACCTCTCCTTGACTTTTTATAATAATGGACCCATACAATACTTGTCCTTCTGTGATTTAATTATTTCACTCAGTATAACGTCCTCCAAGTTAATCCACATTACGAGGTGAACTGCTGAATCTTTATT